AGAGAGAGAGAGAGAGAGAGAGAGAGAGAGAGAGAGAGAGAGAGAGAGAGAGAGAGAGAGAGAGAGAGAGAGAAGGGGTTGTCTCCATAGGCACCTCCGTGTCTCATAAGGATCTGGGAGATGATACATGGGGAAACACACCAAGGCTGAATGTCGTCGTCAACTTCACATGGTAGCATTGCCACAGTGCAACATATGCCTGAGGCCCCAAAGACCTGTGATTATTCAGCGACATAGAAAGTCCGCAACTTTACAACAGCCTGGAGACCCTAAATGGGCCAGGCGCAGAAACGAAAACCAGCCTGCCAAAGGCACCAATATCTCTTCTGGTCAGTTTAATATATGATCTGTGGTCCATCGGACCACATATTATGAAATCCATTTATCTTGGCCGCGGAGGGGTCCGACGGGTAGGCTTGCTTACTCAACCCCTCCAGTGTTGCCTCTGTTTTGCACTGCTGCAGAGTGCGACGCAGACATTAAAAGAAACGAGTGGATGGCCGCCGCAGATATGGCGGAGACCAAGAGGGTGGGTGGGGAAGGAGGGAAATACACCGGTCTACGAAGCGGCACTTGAGCAGGGAAAAAAGAACATAAAAGAGGGGCACGGGCGTCAGCCGTCACTATAGCCTCCTGAATTGGGATAGGTTGGGGCTGCCTCCACTAGTCACCAAATGTGAAAAATGAGAATGAATCTTCTGCTCGAACATGGCAGGATTCACCGCTGTACTTTTTTTGTCTTGTGTGCATGTTGTGAGTAGTGGAGCCAGGCCCTCAAGCGTGGGTCTGTATTTGGACAGTTCGTTTTTTTTTTGTTTTTTTTTTGGGAAGTATCGTGTGGATTCAGACCCTCGCCACCCCTAACACATGGGAGAATACACCGCCATATTTTTTGTTGTCCGACAGGGTCGTATAATGGTAGCAGATTCATTCTCGTTTTGGACATGTGGTGAGTAGATACACCGCCATATTTTTGTCGTCCGACAGGGTCGTATAATGGTACGTGAAGCGGCAGATTCATTCTCGTTTTGGACATGTGGTGAGTAGATTCATTCTCGTTTTGGACATGTGCAAGGAACATGAGTGAGAGCGATAGACAAAATTCCAAATTACAAAATCACGCTGTAGCCCAGATAGTCGTGTACCAAGCAGAAAGCACAGCCAAATAAGAGCAAAACAATGAACAACGTCAATGACGACTCTCTCTGTCCGCACCAACATAGTATCCAATGTCACTCTTCTATATTGGCGCTCAGCGCCCAGCCTATCTACTCAGCACCTAAACTAGCCTACACTACGTTCATGCAAAGGAATCACTTCGACGCCGAAGACCAATGTACGTGACGACGTCACCAATGCAAACTGCCAGCATACACCAGCTATGTGCCTCTCTCTCCTCTCACATTACCCATTGACTTCCCACACTGTGCATTCCCGACACCCAAGGACCACCATCACCATCGCCAGCCTCCGCTGAGCAAGCTCGGCTATGACTGCTCAGCGCCCGCTGCACCAGCAGCGCCCAACACCACAATGCACCCGTGTGCGCATCTTCCAGTCCTTGGCCTACCAGCGGCCTCCAGCGCTCAAACCAGCAGCGCTGCCACCAGCAAGCACACGGCCAGACTCCTCTCTGGCTGCCATGCTCACTTCCTTTATGGAAAGTGAGCTCTGCTTTGTCAAGCTCTGGGCCTGGCTGGACGAGTTTCCAGTAGCTTCCAGTCGGCCCCCATGTCTGCGCCCAGGCCCCCAGTTGCTGTTACTGGCCTGGGCCCTTTACAGTTGGGCACGCCCAGGTAGCCCACGAGGCTACAAGTGTCCGCCGCGATCTCATTGGCTTCTGGCCCGTGTGTGATGAAGACTGCATTCTCATTGGCCCGTGGCCGTTCTGTGAACACGAGTACTGACAGTCCTTATATTGCTGGTTGTGGTGTTAAATAATTCCTGAAGATGAGTACTGACAGTCCTTATATTGCTGGTTGGCCACCAGTGCTGCAAGGGATCTGTAGCGACGGACGTCGGAAAGGGAATTAGACTGGTCAAACCCTAGATCTAGATTAGGTCAGTAGAAGTAATTGTTGAGGGACTAGGTCTCCGTGGTGAGGAGATGGAGTGAACTTACCGCTGTGCCCAACCGCCACCATGGATGACTATCCCATGTTTGCGTTCTTGGCTCTGACCGTGATCTGGGAGCCACTTGTTTTTCCCACTCAGGTTCCACCGGACCTGTAGGATGAATACAACTAGCAGGTCTAGCAAGACAACGCAGCCGTATACAGTCGAGCAGACAGCAAGAATCGAGGCAATACTGAAGGAGAGAAAAGAGGATAAAAGGAAGAAAAACGAGGAGAAGATAAAACAGAAAATGGAGGGGGGTTCGCTTTCCAGCTCACGCAAGCTGTTAGGAGCTACGGTACAGCTCCCCGCATAGAGCAGAGGCTGGGAATCCAACCCATAACCCTTAGCATCCCATGCTTGTGGTCCATAGATGAGGAGCGTATCATTCCAGGCTAGGTAGGTAGGTAGTGGGAGGTATATTGAGAGAAGAATATAGGTTAGTAACCGTTAGTTTAAAAAAAAAGAAAAAGAAAAAGAAAAAATGTAGGAGGGGATGAGAAGGAAATCGGAAGAAGAAGAGGAAGAAGAAGAGGAAGAAGAAGAGGAAGAAGAAGAGGAAGAAGAAGTGATGTTGGAGGAGGAACAGAATAATGGGAAGGAAGGACAGGTGCATTATGTGGTGCAGCAGGGGAAGGAAGCCAAGAGCAGCCATCCCCGGCCCCTCCATATCGAACTGCAGCATGAGGATGCGATGCAAGTGCATGGGTGTAGCAGTTTGACTATGGAGAGGAGAGGCCAGAGGACGAGACGGAGGAGGAATTGGCCAAGTTCCGGGCTGCTCTAGTTGAGGCAACAGAAGATGAAAGGGGGTTGATGATTGAGGAAAGGGAAAGTCAACTTCACCTGAGGATGGTGGCACATAAAAGAAAAAAGTTCACTAAAAGAAGAAGCTGAGGGAGGAGGGAGAAGTATTGCAGCTGAGGCTGAGGGAACAGCAAGAGCAGAAAGGGGATGCTGATGCCCGTCTAATTCTCTTAACCGACACTGTCCTCCACTCCGCTAAAGAGACTGCTGCACTACGATCGTCTGTAGAGAAGATGGAACACCACCAGGACGAACTTAAAGGTAGGTGGAGGAACTTTGCCGTGGCAACCATGAACAAGATGGATGAGAAGACAGTCTTTTATGCAGCACAGTTAGAACAGTACTGCACTAAGAAAATCACGAGTACTATAGCAGAAGAGCGAGCTGGTGGCGGAGGGGGAGGAGAACCAGATGATGGAGATGCTGGAAAGGGAGGAGGAGACCAGCAGGGAGATCTAAAACATCCCGAAGATGGAGAAAAGAGGGACAAGATAAAAATCAAGC